TCCTTGTAGCCCTAGCTGTCCTGGAACTCACTATGTAGACCAGGCTGGCCTTGAACTCACAAAGATCCACCTGCCTCTGCCTCCCAAGTGCTGGGATTAAAGGCGCCATCACACCCTGCTTAACAATTTTTTTTTTTTTGACACAAGGTCTTACTATGTAGCCTAGTTTGCACCAGCCTTGAACTCCCGATCTTCCTGCCTCCGCCTAGGCCTATGCCGCCATGCCCAGAAGTTTCCTCTACTTTAAGAGGTCAAGAGTCTCTCTCTGTTCCCAGGAGTGGGTTAATTTTTCAAAGCTGGAGTATGCTCAGTCCAGAGTGATTGCTCACTAGTTAACCGTGTTTTGTTCCAGGCTGGCCTGGAATTCTCTATGTAGACCAAGCTGGCCTCAAATTTGCATCAGTCCTCCTGCCTCTGCCTCCAGAGTCCTGAGATTACAAGTGTATACCACAATGCCTACCTTGCCTAGCTTTAAACTACAGGATGAGTGGCCTGGGAACAAAGGTCCTGGGCCTGTGAACTGTCTGAAGACAGGAAATAGAATTGATGGAGGCTGGGATGGGGATGAAGAATGGAAGCAGTCCACTCTTTTGGAGACCTCGTTTGTGCCAGGCACAGACAGTATATTCGTTCTCCTCTACAACCCTGTAGTTTTGCTGTTCACACTTTATAGCCCACAGAGACCCAGCAAAGCTCCCAGAGGACTTAAAGGGACACAGGGAAAGAGATCAAGAACCAAGAGGAACTGGGTATTGGCAGAAGTCTTTGGCTTTGATGTTCTGGGGTCCTTGGCACCCTTCAGCACACTGAAAAGCCCAAAGTGACGTGGCAAGGAACGTTTCCAAAAGAAAAACACGGGCCTGCCCTCGGGCTGGAGAGCACATGAGCTTGCAGAACATTTCCTAAGCCCAGGAAATTACGGGGTAAGCAAGCAGACTTAAGGAACTGAAAAGTAAGTCAGCAAATCTAAGGGACTGAATTATCCGATTGTTATAAACTCCTTTAGCTCTTTTCTGATCTTCATTTGGCTCAAGTTAGACTTGAATGAGCACCCACCCCATCCAGATCTTTGGGATACAAGGCTATTGAAAAAAATGGTCCCCTTTGAAACTTCAGTTGTCTGAAAGTCCAACCTAAGTAGATTTTTGTATTGTTATAATCAGTGGGCACTTACTGTTCTGAATTTTTTCCTCTTAATTTTATTTCACCTTGTAGCACCTTCCATGTACCATTGAAACCTGGGTATTCACAGTGTCTGATAGTTATGCTATGGATGATGGCACTGATGGAACAGAGTCACACTGCATTGGCAGCACTAACACAGGGCACCAGCCCCTCCACTCTGGGGATGGATGCTCCTTCCTGGGCCTGGCAAGGACCTATAGGCAGTCCTGCATCTCTCCAGACTTTGAGGGTTCTGCCAAAAATATCTACTAATCCTCAACCAGGGGAACCTATGCAGACTGTTGAGAAATACACTTCAGCCTCAGGAAAGGGTGACCTGAGCAACCAGATCTAATTGATGAGCAGTAAGTTGGTATCAACCTCTTCTGACATCTTTGTTTTTGAGCCTGGATGTTAAGTGTATCCTGTTGGCTGAGAAGGGAAGATGACATCATGAAAGTTCTTTTTCTTTTTATGTGTATGAGTGTATTGCCTGCATATATGTAGGTACACCCATGTGGTGCAATGTCCGAGGAGGTCAGAAGAGGCAATCAGATCCCCTGGACCTGGAGTTATAGATGGTTCTTAGCCACCATTTGGGTGCTGGGAATTGAACCCAGGCCCTCTGCAAGAGTAGCCAGTGCTCTTAACCGCTGAGCCATCTCTCCAGCCCCCATGAAAGTTCTTAACCAAGTCTTTCCTGGGAGGAGCCTCCCAGCTGAACCATGGAACCTCCTGGCAAAGGTCCTGGCTTCTCTTCAAACAGACATAGCTGCTGTCACATAAAGAACATCAATAGCCAGGTGCAGTGGTGCATGCCTTTAATCCCAGCATTCAGGATTAAAGCATCTCTGAGACCTTGAGGCCAGCCTGGTCTATATAGTGAGTTCCAGGCCAGCTGGGGCTACAGGGACACCCTATCTCAAGAAGACCAAAAAAATAAAAATAAAAAGTCTTGTTGCTAGGGAATTGGGGGCAAATACTATCCAAAAAAAAAAAAAAATGATACGATGTAGTAAGGCATTGAGAAAAAAACAGGTCTAGATCATTTTCAGAGGGTTTTGGACCTCTAAGCCTCTGCAGAGACCCATGAAGTGTAGCCATCCCTCTAAATGTCTCCAGGTATGTTACACAGCCTTACCTTCTCACCACTGCAGCCCTCCCCAGCCACCTGGCCTAGCACTTTTCTGATGTGGTTCCTGGCTAACCACTGGTGATGCTGCCAGCTGATCACCTTGAGTGCAGGATTGGGGTGGGGGTGTCAACGTGGACTTTGAGCAACATGAAAATTCTCTAGGGTTAAGGCCTAACCAGGTATCTTATTTAGCTTTGAACTACTTCCAAGATCTAGTCTGCTGCCATACACGTGCATTAATCCATCTTCTATTGTATAACATAATACCCAGGACCAGGTAATTTATAAAGAATGGAAGTTTGCTTGGCCCACAGTTCTGAAGGCTGAAAGTTCAAGATGTGTGATACCAGTCAGCATCTGCCCGTCATCAGGTGAGGATATCACATGGAGAAACAGTACCAGCTTGCTAGTGCAAGTGTGTCTTAAAAAGCCACTGATAGGGTCATGGGGGCTTCACCCTCAAAAACTATTAATATGTGAACATGGGGGGAGGGGTCACTGAAATCATAGCATGTGGTGAGCAATATGGCTCGTGGACTTGAGACAAAATGTTCTTCATGATGATGCAGAGAGGGCACAGGAATGAAGCTCCGTGAAGTTGCAAGTGATGGTGGGTGTTTGAGAGACACGTGGGGCCCTTCCTGTTGCCTCTGAATCATGCTCAGTGAAGACCTGTCCACTCTGACTTTACACTAAAAAGACGTTTTGCACTAAAAAGAAGTACTTAGACCAAGGACCAGTTAATGCACCAGCCCAGCCTGAGTCAGTCCCTGGCTACAAATTACAGTGCAACTCCCAGCTCCCACCTCCCTCCCACCCCTAGAGATGCAGAGCAGAGGGGCAAGAGCAGGAAGGCTTCCCTTTGTGGCTACCAGTCAGCACAACAGATTGAGACATACAGGTGCTTAAAACATATATATATATATATATAATATATATAAATATATACAATCTTCTTATAAGAAAGCAGGGTGAGCCTAGCCGGGGGTGGTGGCATATGCCTGTAGTCCCAGCACTTGAGAGGCAGAGGCAGGCAATCTCTGTGAGTTTGAGGCTAGCCTGGTCTACATAGTTACATAGTGAGTTCCAGGCCATGCTGGGGCTACAGGGAGACCCTGTCTCAAAAAGACCAAAAAAAAAAGAAACTAAATTTGTGGGGCTGGAGAGATGGCTCAGCAGTTAAGAGCACTGACTGCTTTTGCAGAGGACCCAGGTTCAGTTACCAGCACCCACATGGTGGCTCCAAACCATCCTTAGCTCCAGTTCAAAGGGAATCTGACACCCTCTTCTGACCTCCATGGCATTGCACGACATGGGTGCACTCACATACATACAGGCAATACACTCATACACACAAAAAATAAAAATAATAGGGCCTTCATCCTGTGTCACTTTAAACATCTAGATAAATGGCTTAAATTCACACACACTTAATAAGAACTATAAAAATAAGATTTCATTTATTAAAATGTTTCAGAGGAGTCAGGCGTGGTAGCACATGCCTTTGATCCCTGCACTTGGGAGGCAGAGGCAGGCAGATCTCTGTGAGATCAAGGCCAGCCTGGTCTCCATAGAGCACTCCAGGCCAACTGTGGCCACAAGAAGATCCTGTCTCAAAAAGACCAAATAATAATAATAATAATAATAATAATAATAATAATAATAAATGAAATATTAAAAATAAGGGGATGGCTCAGCGGTTAAGAACACTGGCTGTTCTTGCAGAAGACCCGGGTTCAAATCCCAGCACCCACATGACAGCACACAACATCCCCAGTTCCAAGAGATCCAATAACCTCTTCTGTCCTCTGAGGGCATTGCAGGACTTGCAGGACATGGGTACACTTAGCTACATTCAGGCAATACATACATACACATAAAATAAAAGTAAATAAAATATTAAAATAAAAAGAAACTAAATTTGCTATATGAAGGAATGGAGGGGAGGGTCAGAAATAGAAAAACACATTGCTAAAGTATAACTTATCAGGGCCTGGAAAGATAGCTCAGCAGTCAAGAGTGTTTGCTGACCTTGCACCTTGCAGAGGACCTGAGTTCCCAGCACCCACGTCAAGTGTCTTACACCTGCCTATAACTCCAGCTTCCGGGTATCTGATACCTTCTTCTGGCCTCCAAGGGTACCTACACACACACACACACACACACACACACACACACACACACACGCATGCATGTC